TATATATATATATACAAGAAAAAAACAAGCTTTATCTATATTATATTACTGAATTATGCTAATGTTATTCTATGCATCTCTTGTTATATTTTACTTAATCTATATCATCTTACATATTGTCACATTCATATACTAATGATGTGTTGTCTTTCCACTTCCTTTTTCTTTGATTGTCTACAGCTATATATAAATCAATGTATGACAGGAAAGAAAAGGAGGAGTAAAACTCCTCTGATATCCTCCTTATTCTTGCTAAAATTATTTATGATGAATTAGGAACTATCAATAAAAACAAATAATTATAACATAGAAACAGTAATTTATTAAAAGCAGACACAGAAAAGAAGTGTAGTATAACCAAACGGATTTGTTTTGACATGCACATCTCCCATATTAATTAAATTACTGAACTGAATATTGCTTGAGACCTTATATTTCAACTTAAAATCAGATTACTTTTCTACAGCAGTAATATAAAGCTACACATCTTTTTATCTTACAAAGGAAAAAAATTACACTTTTACAAAAAAATAACCAACACAGTCTCAGTTTGCTGAAATCTGAGGCTCAAACACTCTATTTTCAATTGTGTGTATAAATGAGAACTAATATTCACTATGCACCAATCTGATAGATTTTAAATTCTATTTCCATATAAGGAAGGCACCAATTGAATACCATCAACAAATCAATTATACATATAAATAAACTATAGATATAGAAAGGGTGCCATTTGTTGATAAAAAAAAAACAATGTTTCAAGAAAAAGTTAAGTACTGGATATATTCCCATCTTATCTGTTTTAGTAAACCTTTCGCCAAACAAAACAACGCAATAAATAACAGTTTTGTTTAAAGGAGAAATATTCAAATTCAAATTATTATACATAGTATATAATTTATTTGAACTTAATAAATATATTCAAATTTATGCATAATACAGTACCTCTAACTACTGGAATAAATATTAACTAGTAAATGTTAGAAAATCAGCAAAAATAGTTGCTGTTTATTATCAAACTTCTATTGCTGTATCTTTATATGAAGCTCTAAATGTATGATTAGTGTAGGTAATAAATTCTTGTAAATCTTTCAAAACTTATCACAGACTTCACAATATCAATCTGTTGATACAACAGTAAATGGTGTTTTACCAATAAAAGGTATTGTGGCAGGCTCTAAGCTCTACTTGCTGTAAATATCAACTTTTCTTTGATATTTACACCTCAATACATTAAGTGAAAAGGATACTTAGTTTGATGTACCTACACCCCAAAGAAGAAAAAATGGAATGTCAAAGATCTTTTACAACATAATATTTACCTATCTATGGCAGTGAGGTAGCAATCCAACAGCATAACCCCATAAGTTTAGACAAGGAAGATTAATGACATAATTAATATGGCAGTCTAATTTTGTGTGTTCACCAGAAAAAATGAAATAAAAAAATTATATGAAAACACAATATCACAATTATAATGCTTAAAAAGTTCAAAATATTTACAAAAGAAAAACATCAACACAGACAATTTAAAATAATATTTAGTATTATAACTTTTCATGATTATTTGCCCTCATGGTACCTTCCGATACAGGAGTGTCCCCAACAAGAGGGTCCTGGTCAATAAAAGAAAAACCTGGTGGGTTGAATGCTTCTGTATCTTGCATGCCTTCACAGCTGCCTAAGCAAATTGGGTCTCCTACTGCTCCAGATTCTATTGCACCAATCATATTTGTACTTGAATCATTAGTGCTTGGACTGCACCAACTCCGTGCTTGCTCCACTTCTTCTGTTACAACCACAAAGAGTTCCTTATCCTTATTTCTCAATTCTTCTCGGAGGTAGTTTTTTAATTCTTGTTCCTAAAAATAAAATGACAGGATTCATGATAAAAAGCTTTACCAGTACATAAGCACTTCAAAGTGGCAAAAAATTTAGTATTCTTACTCAACCCCATGTCTTTTCTTTAAAACTATCTCTAA